AATCCCACAGTCTTAGCCCCTCCCACCTGCTGGCCTTGGCTCTTGCTGACCTCAGTCTAGGGCCTCTCTAGATATCCATGGGCCTGATGGCATCCTCCATGGCTGCCCCCTGCCCCTACCCTCTCCTCACTGTTCAGTCTGGCCCAAGACAACTGAATTCTTTGCCTTTCAGAGATGTCTTAACCTCCCTTGTCCTCCGACTCTTCCATCCTGTTCTCTTCATCATTACGGGTTTATATTGGTGAAAAGACCCCCTTACTATCAACTTGAATGCCCTCTCAGTGGAAAGGGAGATGAATGCCCATGGGTCCCCATCTTAGTACAGATCTGAGTTGCCTTCCCCTCTCTTTGCAGCTGCTTCCCAGAAGATTTAGATTTCTGCACTGGAGAGGAGACCTTGCTTATTAGATCACTTTTCATTTGGTCTGGAGAGGGAAGAGGGGAACAGAACATGATAGGTAAAATAATGGTCACCTTTGGTTGCTTTGGTAGCAGCCTCCCCCTGTAAATAACACCTGGGGAGGTTGAGGGAAACAGGAGAGCAGCTGACAGGAAGACTCAGGGTGGGGTGGCGGGGGTGGTAGGGTAATCATCAGATTGGGAGTGGCTAGGATCCACTAGCTGGCTGGGACAAAGTCACACTTGCCATAGGTATCTGGAGGACCCAAACCTGTTCAGTCATGCAGGCAAAAGCCTCAGGAGTTCCTAGAGCAGGGAGAACAGTCACAGTGCTTCCCAGGGTGGGAACAGCTTTCCTTGCCTTATCCTTTACCCACTGCTCCGAAGGACTGCTTTCCCCTCCCTCTTTCTTTCTCTCCAAGCCCAGGAAATAGCCTTTGCAATGTCATTTTTAATGTGCCAAAAGTCATTCCCCCCATTGCCAAAATAGCCAAGGTGATGCCTAACATTTATAACCAGGACATAGATTTTCATTCCATAGAGCTAAAGCGTAACATACAGATCCCCTGGGAAAGGGAATGCAGTATCTTAGTAGAGATGGCTGAGCTCAGATCCTCAGTGTGCGTGCTAACGGGGAAGAGTATGAGTGTTTGAGGAGGAGGAAGAGAGGGCATCACAGAGAAAGAAAAGGAACAGCAAGCGACCTTGGAACCAGGCCGATAGGTGTTGTTTTCACCATTTGCATAAGACGTGCTATTCCCCCATCATACCCACTCCCACCCCATCCTCTTCTAGAAACTCCCACGTGGCTCTTCTGAGGGGACACTGCTCAAACTTGCAGTGGAGGATAAGGGATGGGATGGGGATTCGCAGGGGAGTGCCATCTCGAGGGAAGGTGAAGGAGAGGGGGAGAAAGAGAGGCCTGCAGGCCAGGGAATAGGTGTCTGGGAAAGAGTGGCAGGGAGGACTGGTGGAAGTGGGATATGGCAAAAGAGGGGTTCGGAGGCGAGGGAGCTTTCTACTGAACATTACAGCAATGGGATTAAAGAGAGATGAATGCCAACGGGCCATCCATAGTGGCCTCAGAAACGACAGCACCATGAGCTCTCAATGCTGGCAGAGATGATTTTGCTGGGTTTGGGTTGAAGGAGAGATGAGTATATGAGAATCAATGCATGAACATGTGTGATTATTAAACACCGTGTACCATCACAGCCATTTCACATCAGCAGTGGGAGCCATAGTTATCTTGTTTTAATTTCTTTTTTCTACAACGAGCCCACTTCTGGGATTACTGTTCTCAGAATCAAAAGGAAGCAGAGTGGGAGGAAGGGCAGTCCCTTGTCAAGGGGCCCATGGCAAGCTAATGGGAATTTAACTGTGTCTGTCAGCACACAGGCCCAAGATCAGGACAGCTCTTAGTAGGTGTCCTGGGCATTGAATTCACTCAGGCAGCAGAGCCTAATGGCTGAGGGCATGGCATCAGAGGGTGGAAGGCTGGGGTTTGGGGCCCAGCCCCTCCACCTTCCAGATGGGTGTGCTTGGGCAAGTTTCTAAACCTGTCCATACCTCAGTTTCACCAGGTGTAAGGTGGAGGTCATAATGTCATGTTCCTAGGAGTGTCATTTTGAAGTTAAGTGAGATGAAGCCCGTTGTTTCCTGTTATTACTGCCTGGTTTAGAAGGTAAATGATAGCTATATGATAGATATAGATGGCTGAAATGCGTCTTTTGTGTGATATTTTTACTTTTCACACTGACTTCATAGCTGTTGCTTTTAACTCTTAGAAAAACCCTGTGGGATAAAAATGGAAGGCATCGATTCCAGCTAACCGGTGAGGAAACTGAGGCTCAACATCACAGTGTCTGTAAGAGGCAGAGGTCAGACTTGAGCCCAATGTTGTCTTTTTTAAACCAGAGGTCCTCAACTGTACTGCCCCTGGAGTCGCCTCCCCTCAGAGATTCCCCTTCCCCTCTCCAGCCACGGCTGTCACTGAAGCTCTTCCTCCATGGGGCTTTGCCTTCTCCCATCATTTGCCAGCAACTCACATGGGTTTCTTTATTTTTTTTAAATGAGGCACTGCAAGGGTCACTTACCCTTGGCTGTAAGTGGTGGTCAGAGTGACTTCCTTCTACTCTGTCCCTGGGTACTCTGTACTCCAGAAGCACCCTGGAGCTGGCCATCCCGAGTGAGGAGTCCCACTGGGAGCATGGAATGGAGCAGAGCAGGACCGAGCATAGACAAAATAGAACTGCAGAGGCATGGGGACTGCAAAGACTTTCAGCAGGGCCTGCAGTGATCTCTGTCCCCAGGGCTCCAGTGAACCCAACCAGGAAGCATCTGTGTCCTCACAGGACATATAATGATGATGCCCCTTGCTCAAGCTTTCTCAGAGGGGAGCACATGGGTCATCCCCCTCCAGTCCCACTTCTCTCCTGAACCTCATTTTTCTGCCTGTGGCCTCCCGTGGCCCCGCAGGACCTATCCCTCTAGCTGTCTCTCTGTTCCCCTAGCAACAGACTTCTCAATGTCATGGTATGGACCTTTTCCCACCTCCTGGTCACCCTCTACTCGCTCTTCAATTTAAATGTCACTTCTTCAGGGAGCCTGCTGCTTCCCCCAAAGTCGTTGTCTCCTTGCTACCTGCATCCTGTACTTTTCCATCATATACCTATCACAGTTGTGATCATCTGCAGTCAGATTTTGCCATTATTTGCATCACACCTGCCCCTCCACCCCCAGACTGTAAGTTCCATGGGGCCCAAGACTGGATCCTCACTGCCCGGTACGTTGTGATGCTCGATAAATATTACATGAAAGTATTAAATATTCAATAATGCTACATGCAAGTGCTCTGCAGTGCTTGGACAGTGAAAGTTGCTCTGCAAATGTGTTTTCATCTCAATTTTATTGCTACCCATGGGGTTACCAAACAATAAAAGAACTGTCTACGGCAGCTGAGGCTTCCAGAAGAATCAGGCAAAATGATTCGTAAGGGGAATTTATTGAAGATGGTCTGTGAGCTACAAAATGTCGTGTGCTGTGGCTGCTCCTAGGGAGGGAGGCTGAGAAACGAGCCTGAGGATGTAACTGGCACTCGGTCGTCCTACTGTGTGGTTTGAAGCCTTGCCTGTGTGGGATCCCTGAGAGGGTGCATGCCGTTACCAGGATTCCACCTTCAGCCCAATTCCTTCTCTGTTCCCAGCTTCTTTGGGTGCCACTGAACTCTCACACCCCTACTGAGTTTACTCCTCTTTGCACACTTCGCCCAGCTCCTCCTTGACCTCCCCATCCTCCATCCTTTGCCACACTTCCTGCCTGCTGTGCCATCATATTCTGCGAGCCCCGCCTGGTCTGCAGTGTTCAACCATTCATTCCGCGGTTCCCTCATGACCTCTTAGAACCCTGCTGTTGTCCTAGAGAGCTGACCCCTGGTTCCCCCAGCAAGTCACACCTTCCAGGGAAGGGCACCTTTATGACTCACTTCCCCCAAGCACCTCTTCCAAACACTTGCTGCTTTCAAGCCCCTAGACCCATTCCCACCCCCTGCATTATCTTTTATTCATTAACTCTTTATTGAGCATCTACTACATGCCAGGAACCACACATGGTTGGGAGTATAATTGGGAGTATAAGGGTAAATCTAGAAAGCACACTTTTGCTCTTCGGATTCCCAGTATGGTGGAAAGAAAGACCCAGAGAAAGAGAGAGGCGGGGGAGGGGGCACTCTGGGCATGTGTGTTGTGCTCTGAACTGGAAGGATGTAACTGTGAAGGCGTGAGGGTGACATTTCAGCACAGCATGAGCAGGGTTGCTCCGAGCAAGCAGAGAGGACAGGGTCACAAGCAGGTGGCCCTGCATGTGTGGAGAATGTGGTGAGTCAGGGAAGATCACCCCATTCTGTGTAGCTGTGGTGTGGGAGGCAGCCTCTGGAGAGTGGGGAAGACAGCGCAGGCATGACCGTGGGGGCTGTGTGAGGAGTTTGCATGTGAAGAACTTGTGGGGCAGCGGAGAGCTTCAATAAACCTTCTCCACAGAACAAAATGAACAGATATGTTTTAAGAATCACTGAGGCAAGGAGGAGGGACTGCAGGGGATGCAGGAGGGTGGCAGAGAGAGCACTGCAGAGCTTCTCCTGAACACATTCACTGAGGGATGCCACAGCCTACAGTGCTCTCTGCTGCAGGAAAGCAAAAGTGAATGGTTCTCACACCCAGCTCCTGCAGGAGGCAAAAGCTAGAGGTGGCAGGATGTGGAATCTAGGTATTTAGAGATGTCCTGGGCCTGTGGATGGAAGGCGACAAGCTATAGTATCTCCCTGACAAGGCTTCACCTCCCTGCTTGACTGTGACCTTACCCTGCCCACAGCCCTCACACGCTTGCCCTGGGAGGTGGCCTCATGGGGGAAGGTCAGCAAGACTGTCCCAGGCTTTACTCCCAGCCACCTTTGCTGACAACTCAAAGGAAGGCAAAGTGAACCTTACGTCCTTGGAGCCTGGGTGAGGGTAGTTGAAGCTGGGACTCCACGCCTCTCTGCCTTTATGTCGAAGGAAGGACAGAATAACCCACAGGGTGAAAAGGATCACTCTCAGAGTCAGTGATTTGTTTTGTTTTTTGTTTTATGTCAGTGAAACACTCGCCTTATATAAAACTAAACCTAGGGACAGGGGTAGGCCCTGAGTGCCAATCCTCCACCTCAGCCCCGGTGATCTGACCCCCTAGGAGTCCCCAGCTCAGCCCCATGTGAGACCCACGTTGGGTTGCTCTTCAGGCTTTCTGAGGCTAGGCCTCTTGAGGTGTCCTCAGACCCTCTGCCTGCCCACACTCGGGATCCTAATTTGCAATTCAGGTGGTTGAAATGGATTCAGAACAAAAAACAATTGACATCACTCCTTGAAAAAAGAAAATGATTTTGTCATTGGCAGTATAATAAAGCCTAGTTCCAAAAGCAGTCTGCTTCCCACCCAGAAGGCTTGCACTGGAAAAGTGAGGGTTCTGTCCCCTCCTGCCATGCTCGGTGACAGCAGCCTCACCTGGCTTCCTCCAGGTGGGAAGTGACCAGCACGGGAGAGACATCTCCTCCTGCCTATGCTGACCTGATCCAGCCCCTCCTTCCCCTGTCCAGCCTCTACCTCTTCAGGTGTGTTCCTTAAGGAAGCTCAGTGCATAATGCATATCAGCTGACCACCTTAAGTACTTTTCTGAGCCCCAAGTTGCCCTGGCCCATGGCATTGGGTTAAAGGCAATGTTATCAAGTACTCTTCCTCCCAATGGGTAGCTTGGAAGTAGGACTATACTTAAGCTGGGGAGGCGGCTGAGACCTTCCCCAGGCAGCCCCCTCCCCAAACCCATTGACTTCCTCTTGTTCCCAGCACAAAGGACCCCAGGAAGACAGAGCCTGGTTTCTGCTGGTTCTTGAGAACTCATAAAACCCTGAGGTTCATTTATCTGGAGTGTGTAGAAGCAAAGGAATGCTTTAGTGCGTCAGCATCCAGCCTTGCAGGCCAAACGTCCGAGTGCATTGGCTGGGGCGCCAGCCCTGATCTGGGTTCCCAGTGAAGTAACTACACTGTGCAGGTTAAATCCAGTTCCTGCCCCGGACTCCCAGTACCTGGGAGAACTGGGAGGTTCTTGGCTGCCGGCAGGATTGCATTTGTCAAGCTAATGTGCTGCTGCCGTTGTCAAGTTTGCAGCATTTTCTGCACTGAGGACTATATCAAATGTGTATATCCAAGGCTCCCGGGCAGTGAGAATAATCTGTCTGTGTGTCTGAGTGTTAATGATGGCCAAGCAACTCAGAAGGAAGGCGGACAGCTGCCTCTGGGGCTGGAAGTAAGGTCCTGCCGTGTTCCTCACTCTTGACCTCTTTCTACCCATTGCCCCCCTTCCACTACCTTCTCCCTTTCTCTCTCTTTTCCTCTCCCTAGGTCCTCCACCAGCTCTGCTCCCCCAGCCTAGACCCACACCCTGGCTCGTATCACGGGATCCTGAGTGTTTTATTTCCCACTGATGGGCAGGAGACCATCCACATTCCCTTGATTAATTCACTGTTTTGATTATACCTAAGCAGAGGTATCTTTTGTACCTGGCCTTAAGGGGCCTTGGCTCTCCAATCTCACACTAGAATGAACTGATGTTCTCCCCACCCAGCAAACACTGGCTGGGCCCCAGTGGAGGTCAGGTGCTGTACTAGGCACCAGTCCTGCACATCCTCAGCACAACAGGGCTAATTCCCAGTCCCCTCCTGCCATCGCTCCCTGAGGGCAGCCTGACTCCAGCTCTGGTCTAGTGAAGGGAGAGGATTCTGGTTTGGAATGCTGGTAGCCGCTGCCATATGGACCATAAGTGACTCTTTGTTTCCTCATAGAGAGTTTTGACTTAATTATTTGAGGAAGAGGAGCTGGTCCTTTGCCGTTGGCCAGTCCTGGCCATGCATGAGCCTTTGCTGGCTGGGTCAGGTTCCCCTTCCTCACCTGATGGAGGACACCCCATAAAGATCAGCCTGAAGACCAGGAAATGCCAAAATGGAATGGGCCTGCTCCAAAAACAGGAGTGACTTTGGAAGAGTCCTTTCCCCTTTCTGCACTTCACTTGCCTGAATTCCTGCTCTTAATTTATGTGAACTGACTAATGGCCTGAAGGTTTCTCAAGAACCAGCAGAAACCAGGCTCTGTCTTCCTGGGGTCCTTTGTGCTGGGAACAAGAGGAAGTCAATGGCTTTGGGGAGGGGGCTGCCTGGGGAAGGTCTAATGAATGACCTTTTTCAGCATGAAATCAAACCAGCAAGGAACACAGGTGCTACTTGGGAAGCCACGTCCCCATCAAGGCTCCTGTTCTTTGCCTCGCCTGTCTGAGCTCAGTGTGGGTTCCCCACTGCCCATCTCCCTGGTTCCATGAGCTCCGTTGCTTTCTTGACTACTCCCCTCCCAGGCTGTGGAGCTTCATGCCTTGTCATCTTCTCCCTCCAGGGAGCTCTTCAACTGGAGGCTGACCACTTCTCTCCCTCCCTCACCGCGTGCACTGGGGTCCGATGGCCTCCCACGGCCCTGACCATCACGGCTATGAGGCTTGTGGGTATGTGGGATGCGTCACAGGCCTGCAGGGGATTCTTTGTTCCTGGGAGGCCAAAGCGCTCCCTGGTGTCTCTCCGGCTCGAGCAGGGAGCAAAGTGCAAAAACAATTGTACAGCCATGCGTTTCCTCTCCAGCCTGCCATGTGATCTCTGTGGCATGTGAGTCTGACTCTCAAGGTTTTATAACCTTTCCATGAAGGAGGCACTCACAGAAAAGGGCCGAAGGGAGAGCAGCGGACACATGCGGCAGTCTGGAAGTCAGAATCAAGTGAATGGTGTCTCTGTAATGGACTTGGTTAGCCAGGTGGCAGTTCACTGTAGATTCATTCCTCAGTACCCCATATCCCAGGCTGGATGTCTCTGCGTGTGCTGGAAGGAAAGAGAGGGATAATGTAGCCTGATCCCCCCCAGTCTCCATTCCCAACTCTCACAGAAAAGAAACTCAAAACACATGTGCGGTGGTTTCAGCTCTTCTATGTGAAGGCCACCCCACTATTGGAGGCATGCTGAGACTTGCCCAAGGCATGAGAAGGACTCACACTTCCAGCCCCTATGGCCCACTTAACGTCACGGTGGGTGCTGTTCATTTTGGTATAACTGGTTGTGGTCATGACTGTACTTACTTTGGGAAGCACGTCAGTGTTGCCAGCCCGTTTGTTCTTCTCCCATGAGTAATGGGCAGTGTGGTTATTCCTACCTCACAGAGCGGAGACTCCTTGCTGCAGTGCTCATAGGCAGCACCAGGACCAAAATCCAGGCCTTCCAGCTTTCCTGCACTGTGATAGCCCCATATGGTCTGGGGATTGTTGACCTGAGCTGTCAAAATGTGATTTCTGTCACCGGAAAACGGAGATGCAATCTCTGGGAGAGGAATTGCTTTTTTTTCTGCCTTAGGAATGATTTCTTGTTGCCTCTGAGCATAACCCCTGCAAATGATTAGCCTCTCCGGGAATAGTAGGAGGTAGCTATGCACATGCATCGGCTGGATAAGGAGCCAGTGCGCCTGGGCGAGAGGCAGGCTGGGCTGGGTGGAAGGAAGTCAAGAACTCTCTGAAATATAAAGGGACTGAATCCAGGATTTAAATCAGATAAGACGTGAAATTCTCGTGTCTGGTTGGTATCCCTCAGGGGGTAGAAAGAAGTGAGTTTTACAAAGTTGAATTTGTAAATGACGGTCTGGAGTATGGAGTTTCTGAGAATGCATTTGCCCTGCTCAGATGTTATTATTGATGCAATAGGTTAGGAATTAGGTGCTGAGAATGGAGGATGCACATGATAGAACCCCTGACCTCCCTGCACTTCCAGTCAAACACCAAACACAAAAGTTAAAACTGAAACGGAGAGAAAAGTGACACAAAAGTGCTGAGAGGGGGACACAGCCTGAACAGATAAGCTAGTCTGGGAAGGGAAAGGAAACATCAGGGAAGGCTTCCCGGAGGAAGGGACATTTAAACTTAGACCTAAAGGATGAATAAGAATTAGTGGCTCAGTGTGGATTACACCTGTAATCCCAGCATTTTGGGAGGTTGAGGCAGGAAGATTGCTTGAGCCCAGGAGTTCTAGACCAGCCTGGGTAAACATGGTAAAACCCTATGTCTACAAAAGTTTAAAAAAAGAAAAACCTAGCTGGACATGGTGGCATGTACCTGTAGTCCTGACTACTCAGGAGACTAAGGCAGGAGGATCTCCTAAGCCCAGGAGTTTGAGGCTGCAGTGAGCCATGACTCACTGCACACCAGCCTGGGTGACAGAGCGAGACCCTAGTATCAAAAAAAAAAAAAAGAACCAGATGAAGAGAAGGGGGGCAGTTTCCCTAACGAAAAGAACAGGTTTTCCTGAGAAAAGGAACAGCAAGTGTGAAGGCCCAGAGGCAAGGGAAACAGGACATTATCTATGGGCTGAACTGATGTCTTTTACGGCTGGTGAGAGGAATTCAGGGAGGCGAGATCAGAGGCTAGAGACAGTGAGAAGGCTGTCGGTTAAGGAAGCAAGGTCAGTCCTTCCCGAGGAACTGGGGAAAATGGAAAAACAGAAGCAAGAACTCAAGCATGCTCAAGAGTGCTCCACAGCAGGAAGCCCCATGGGAGATGACAGAGTTTGCTGGTGTTGGAACCAAGCCTGGATTAGAACCCAGACTCTGCCTTGTAGTGTGTGACCTTGAGAAAGTCATTTCAACTCTGCAAAATGGAAGGGGAGGAGAATGGGCACCTGCAGGGTACCTATTGTGCACCACGCACTGTGCTGAGTTGATTAATCTACTAAGAAGAGTTATACCTACCTCACAGTGTAACTAATAAAACTTCAATTTAAACGTTGTTGAATGTCTATGACTATCCCTCGCACCAAGGAGGCTCTCAATATGTGCCAGCTGAGTGGGACTGTGTGCCTGGGGAACAAGGCAGAGCTTGGTGCCAGAGACAAAGAAAGAGCCCGGTTAGCAATGAGAGCATGAGGTCAGAGTCAAGGCCACCAATGCAGACAGGCTCCGCCCAAGTGCCAGCTCTGGGTGCTTGGCAGAGGCTCTCAGGAGGGCTGTTTTAGAAGGACTGTTTGATTCTCCTGGCTCCTCAGGAGAGAGTCATGACTGATTATCAATGTCTGCCATAGGCACACAATGGAGTAATAGTGGTATATACAGCACACATTTGCCATTTCTGATGTAAAGCAAGATGATACAGACTCGTGTAGCTACAAGCCAAGGATGTTTGAGCATTCCTGCCATGGGCTAACCCTGCAGGTAGAAGGTAAGTGGTCCCATGAATGGGCCCCAAAATTTGGCAAGAAAGCACAGATCTGAACACTGAGCTGCCATGGGACTTTTTGCATTCCCTTTATGGCTTATTAAATGTGGGCTCACAGCAGTAGCTCCCAATGCAGGGAAGGCACAGTGGCCTGCAGGCACTGTTCAGCAAGTACTGAAGCAAGTGTGGGAGAATGGAAGATGCAGGCTCTGCCTCTGAGAAGCTCAGACCTGGCTGGGATCACTTCCCTTCAGAACACAGCCCAAACAAAGGCAGCCCCAAATAGGGCCTCACCTTATTTAGCCACTGAAGTCATAATAGCACTGATTTAGATTTTGAAAGAGGCCACTGTCTTCTGCTAGCTCAGATCTCCTTCCTTAAAAATAAGAACCAGAAGTTTCTCCTTGAATCTGCAAAGGTCAAATGTTGTAGGAGTCATTTAAAATCAGAAGGATTTACACACCTGCGTGCACACGCTCCCTTGCACACTTGTGGACCATAAGCTGGACTCTCAGCCTCCATCCTGGGCAGGGGACTCTGTGCAGCTGGCACTGTGCCTGCAGCCACCAGCACCCAGACTTCCCACGCAGGGACCCAGATGCTCCCCTTCCCCAGCTTTGCTGATGTGGAGCTGGAGTTCCGATGAGGCAGCCGGAATTTCTCTCCGTGCTATTTTGGTATCGCTGAGAGGCATGGGAAGGCTTTGTTCTCCCTGGCTGGTTACGTAATTTTCAAAAGGAAAAACAGCAAAGCCCGAACCGTCCGAGAGTTTGCTCTTTGGGGAGGAGGGAACTCCCCACCCAGCATCTGATGTTCCTTCTGTAAATTTCTCCCTCAATTCTTCCAACTTCCCCACCCCAGAGAGAATGAAGACAACAGGGTCCCCTCCTGTTTCTTTCTCAGCAGTGTCCCCACAGGTGTGTTCTTTAAAAATCATGTAAAGGAAACACAATCCAGGGTGGGTGGCATCACTGCCTCCCAGGGATGTTGAGATGTGTGCAGTCACCCTAGGCTCACACATCCCGGGGGGAGAAGGCTCACATGGGGCCCGTCCTGGGCAGCAGAGCCTGTCAGTGGCTCCTCTCCTTGAGATCTGTTTATTTGAGACTAAGCTGGGCTTTGGCTCCAGTCAGTTGGTGTCCTGCTGGCTGGTGTGTGTGAAGGGTCATCCCAGGTCCTGGGCTGGGAGTGGTGCTGGGCATGAGAGAGGCCCTGGCATAGGGGATGCAGCCCGAGGTTGGCATCATGGGCAGCACCATTAGGAGCAGCCATCTGCTCATGCGTCAGGGTTTCTGCAAAGGAAAACGAGTTCCTGAGCATGCACAGGTCACTTCACGTGAACCACTGCAGCCTGCACACCTCTGGGGTGGAGGGAGCAGCACTTAATTTCAAAAGCAGGAAAGCCAGGGAAAGTCATTTCTCCTGATTCCTGGGGGTCCGCCTGCCGCCACCGCTGATAGTGAGACCCAGCGGTCAATGGAAAAGATCAGTGACCACACAGCAGTTCTTTCTTCGGTGAGGAAATGCCTCTGGTCTTCATGCTTTTGGGGGCCTGTGTGGCCTCCTCCCTTGAACTCCTGCCTTCAGTCCCTGCTCACTCTAAAGGGATTTAAAAAGCTTTCTTTTCTGGGCTTCAGGGATGCTTTTTAAATTTATCTTTCCATGTGGGTTGTACTTTGTCATGACCAAAATCTTACTGCAAACATGGAGTCATTGCTGTGTCCGCTGTTATTTATTTATTGAATCCCTCTCTGTATGCGAGACACTGCCCTGGACCCCGGGTTACGTCAGTGAAAACAAAAAGATAAGGTTCCCCTCCTCTTCACAGTTCATCTGGCTCTGGAATCAAATGAGATCCGTGCCAGGTAGGACCCAGGACCCCAGACCCAAGGGGACTTTCCAAGGCTTCTTCTCTACTTTAGAAAGTCAAGAAATGCAGATCTCCAGGCGCTTCCTCTCCATTAGTTAGCTATTGCTGTGTAACAAATGTCCCAACATTTATTGGCTTAAAAACAACATTAACTGCCATGTAGCTCCTGAGAGTCAGGAATCTGGGCACAGCTTAGTTGGGTGCCTCTGACTCGAGGTGTCTCCTGAGGTGTCAGTCAAGTTGTTGGTGGGGCTGTAGTTCACTCAGGGCTCAACTCGGGGAAGGGCTGCCTCCAAGCTCACTCACGCAGTGGCCAGCAGATCTATTTCTGAGAACTCCCAGGAGTCTCCCAACAGGGCTGCCTCGGGAAGGAGCAGCAGCTTCCCCACGAGCGAACAGAAGAGAGTGGTTACCTGAGATGTAAGCTACAGGCTCTTTATAACCTGGTCCCAAAGGGGCATCCCATTCCTGCTACCAAATTCTATTCCTTAGAAATAAGTCAGTGAGTCCAGCACCCACTTAAGGGGAGGGGATGGCACAGGGCCTGAAAACCAGGATCACTGGGCCATCTGGGAAGCTGCCTTCCACATCCTCCAGAACCCTCTCTGATCAGACGCACCCCACTTCCTGTTGCACTTACAGTAGCGATCACACAGTCCCTGAATGTTCCTGCATTGTTTCCATAATTATCGCTGTGGTTCCACTCCCCCGATATGAATATAAGCTTCTTGAAGTCAGAAGCTATGTGTTCTACATCTCTTTACTTTGCATTTAGACCAACCATGTGCCAGACCCAGGGACTAGGGAGCGCTTCATCTCTCTGAGGTGGGGTGGTTAGTGGCAAGAATTGAGGGAGATATTTACAGAAGGAACAGCAGATGCTGGGTGGGGAGTTCCCTCCTTCCCAAAGGGCAAGTAACTGTCGTTAGATCATCTCAGCCCCTCGAGTGAAAAAATAATGTAAAAGTCCAAAGCAAAAATGTCTTCAACAGCAGTAGGGCTTCACAGTCTCTCTTGGCAAGAAAGCTGCAGGTGGGTAGTTGCAGGCGTGGCTCAGCTCCTCAGCGATGCCAGCAAGGTCCCATGCTCCTCTACCGCCTCCCCACGTGGCCTCAAGGCAGCTGCTGCAGCACCAACACAGCTTCCTCTACAACCACATCTGCAAACAGGAAGCAGGGTTTGTTCCTGCTTAAGAAGGAAACCTTTTCCCTTAGGACCCCCCCTCGGCAGACTTTCCCTTAAGGCTTGTTGTCCCGGACAGGGTCATATGACCACTCCTAAAGCAATCACTGCCAAGAGGGAATTGTATGACCACAGTTCGTTTAGATTCATGGTCCTCAACACAGGTGGGTTCGGGAGATGACATCGCCTCCTGGGTCTCTGGGAAATGGGAGTCTGACCCAGGGACTGGGGAGCGCTGTTGACAGTTAGTGGGTTGGGACCAGAGTTGTTAAACTTCCAGCAATCATGTGTGTCACAGTCCCACAAAACATGGAGAGAACTGCAGAAGCCGAGCCCAGAGTCATTGTGTAATCACCTGAGTGAGTTTGGAAGCAGATCTTCCCCCCTATTTGAGCCTTGAGGTGACTGCAGACCTGGCCAATAGCTTGACCTTGAGTCAGAGGCACCCCGCTCAAATGCCAACACCAACCCTGTTGAAAACTGCTGATTTAGACAAGTGATCTTCAACCAGAGGTGATTTTCTGCCTCCCCCACAGGTGATTTGTTTGTCAGCGTTTGGAGACACTTTTAGTTGTCACAACTGGGGGGTGTGGCTGGCATTTAGGAGGCCAAGGCCAGGGATGCTGCTAAACAGTCAGGTGTGCACAGGCCAGTCCCATGGCTAAGGATTATGTGGTTCAAGTGCTGACGGTGCTGAGGCTGAGGAACCCTGGTGTAGACCCACTGTGAGTCACTCCTGGGTTGGGCTCAGCCACCTGATGGCTGAACCAGACCTGGTTTGTTCATAAGGAGGAAGCAGAAATGTTTCCTGGGTAGGTGGCCACCGTCAGTGTTGGCTACATACAGGTGCTGCTCAGGATGCCTGCGAGCCAGCCAGCTCATCCCAAGGATGACTAGTCCCAGTGCCATGGGTTCCAGCATGGCTGAGGTTCACAGTTAGAGGTCAAGAACTTGATGGAAAGTGGGGGTGTAATTGCTTAAACTCAAGATTTTTCTTACTCTACTTTTAATATTATTTCAACGTTCTATTTCTCAGTTTCTCTTTTCATAGAATGGGCTTACTGTGGCCTCTATACTGGGTTGAACACAGGCTGAAAAGGTGGGTGTCTCTTGCTTTGCGACAAACCTTAAGGTGTGCCTACCCCACATTTTTCCCTCACTGGGCCAGAAAACTCACACTGAGCCTAGATGGTCTGTGGTAAGAGTCACTGACCGGGGCTGAGATATTATGGTGATTAGAGCATGAGCTTTGGACTCAGACTCACCTGAGTTGACATCCCAGATTCTTCACCTGCCAGAGGATGACTCTAGGCAAATCACTTCCCTCTTGGAGCTCCATGGAGAACTATATCAACCTCACAGGGTGGTTGTGAGACCCAACGGAAATAATCAGGTAAAGCCCTCGACCTGCGATATACCCTTAGTACATGCAGTTTTGCCACCTTCATCATGTCCCCTTTGCCATCTCTCCAGAAGGCTTCTGTTAAAATGCAAGTGGGGTTGAGAAGTGAGGCACATCAGCCATCCCATAGAATTGCAGAACTAGAAGGGACCTTTAGGCCAGATTAGGTAGCGTTTGGAAAGCTGAGAGCCGGGCTCATCAAATTTGCAGATGAACTGAACTAAGCCTCACCTTGAGGGTTGCTCCCTAGGAGGGCAGGCCTGATGTGTCACCTCATGTGTCACCATGAGGGGCAACAGGAAGACTGAGTCCCAAGAGAAAGGAGACAGTGCAGTGCAGGAGGAGCCAGAAAGGGGCCCGGGTCCCAACACACTTCAGGGCCTGCTTGTGAATGAACTAGAGGATGTTCCCGTGGAGTCTAGAGCAGAGGTCCACGAGCCACAGCTGGCAGCCCTAATCTGCCCAGCACGTATTTTTGTAAATAAAGTTTTACTGAAATGCAGTCATGCTCGTTTGTTCGGGTATTGTCTGTAGCTGCTTTTGTGCTATAAAGGCAGACTTAAGTTGTATTGAGTGTTTTCAACAGAGGCTGTATGTCCTACAAACATGAAAATATTGATTTTCCGGCTCCTTATAGACAAAGTTTGCCAATCCCTGGTCTAGAGAACTTCATTCATATAGACTACAGTGACTCACTAGGATCACAAGCCTTGGAGTCAGACTGACTATGATATGAATGGTGATACCTAGAATTGTGCAGTGCATAGCCTGCTCAGCTGGGAACGTCGGCTCCACGGGAGAAGGGCTTCCTCTAAGTTTCAGAGTGTTCAGGAGAGGGAAGAAAGCAGCGTCTGTGAAATGTCAGCCCCTTGCTGGGGAACTAGTTCCTGTGGAAAGTCGACAGCATGAGGTTTGGGAGGATCTGAGCAGACGGGGAGGTGAGTCTAAATTTAGACTTTCCAAAGCCGATTTGTAAACCAGAGCCCCAGGAATCCCAGAAAGGGACAGTTGGCACACACCGTCTCATCTCTGGTTTGCCTCCGCTTGTTAAAAGGCTGGATGAGTGAGAGAACAATTAATTGGCCTCAAATGAGCTGTTGCCCGGGTCAGTGAGAAAAAGTTAAGAGCTGAAACTCCATTGTTCAGAGACCTGAGGGTAGAAATTTTTATTCCCGTGTTTTATTACGATGCCTAGCCATGGAATCATGGGCACCTTGGCTGCCCTTGCAAGAGTTTTTGCATTCCTCCTGCTGGGTGTC